TCTCTCTCTCTCTCTCGCTCACTCTCCCCGCATTTCGGTCTCTGTCGCGAATTTATAACAGCTAATCCAATTTTCGCGGCGGCTTTACGTACCTGAACGACGTCGCAATCTTGCCAGAGACGCAGTTCCCGAGGTGGCGGCTCGGCCTGAGTAGCTGGCCGCGCCCTCACAGCTACCAATTGGCCTCGGGGTTGTTTTACGTGTATTAAGGCGTGCTTGCCCGCCGGCACTTCGTGCTGCCTCACCTACGCGAGTAATACAGGTACGAGTATCAGTCTATTTGCACTCACTCGAAATGCGCTCGCGTACGCGGCTTTTTACCCCCGTCTCTTAAATGCATCTCGTTACATACGACTCGCGATACGTGATATCTCCACGTCGGATATCATCGGGAAAGTCTCAGCTGAGAGCGAGAAAATGGCAAGTGACAACCTCACGAGAAATAACCGCGTGAATTCGCGTACGGTATTTTTATACGGACATTTGTTATAAGCATTTTTATTTTCCAGCATTTCAAAACGTTGTGAAGATACATTTTAGTATTTAATTATACTTCCTCCATTAAACATGAGCGTATTATCTAATATTATTACTTAATATTTTATTATGCTATATACTTTTATTATATTATATTTAACATTATTTTTCATTTATTATCATTATTATTATATAACATTTTATTCTACTGTATAAATTTCGAGTTATGCAAAGTTAAACAACAACATGGCATTTTGTTAATGTAACCTCTCCATTTAAAAAAATTCAATACGGTCTATTCTTCGGGATTTTCATATCGAAGTGGTTATTCGATAAGTTAATAATTCAAATTAAGTTTAAAAGTTTATTCGTTTACAGAAGCTATCTTCCTGACAAACAAGTCGATATCTACATTAAAAATTTATTTTTGTTCCTTCTAAAAAAGCTTATTTCGAATAAATATATAAATTTGTAACGAAACATTGTATTTTTTGAACAAAACCAAATTTTTAATCTATTTTACTGAGTGTTACCACATTGCCATTTCTGTTTTTGTTCGATCTATCATGCAGAGTCACCACATTTTTATAAATAACAAAGTAACAAATATAATTTAGAGTTAAGAATCAATTGAACGAAACTTTGACGAGTGCAATCAAGTTTTCAATTTAAAACATTGATTATTAACAAAATTATTGTACAAAATGTAAATGGCGAACATAATATTACTTTCTTCTCCAATAATTCGTTAAAAGACTAGAGACCGTTTAATTGTCATTAGCCTGTTCCTTATTCGTCATTATACATTTCGGTCGAACATCTCGCTCGTAACACCATTTTCTTTTATTACCACATTGTCGTTCACCATTTTCACGGTCGAGCTGAAGGAACGCACGACGTGTGATGAATAGCCAGAATCAGCTCATCTTCGGACATCGACGGTTTCACGATGCTGAGTGCGAGTACGCGATAAAGACCGGCGAGATGGCTGGTATCGGTTGGCGCGTCGGAGTAAGATAAGCTCGCGGTGGAAATACATTGACGAAGATCTCGCGAATCTTGCTCATAATCGAAGTCTATCTAGTGCAAGTCCCACGAGTGTGTCTGGCCCGTCCGGTTGCGCGCGCGCGAGGAGAACAAACGATCGCCTCCGGCGTCGAAACGGCGAGTCGTAAATTTCCACGGTGCCTTCACGTGTTTCGTCCATCGGCTCGAGGACGACCGGGGGCGCATCGAGAACGGGCTTGATTAGTTTCGCCCCCGTCGATGAAATATGTTTACAGGATGCCGACATTATTACCGATCGCCGTTGGCCACTGAGAGAACGCATGATGATAAACTGCGGTTCTCGTGGGAAAGCGCACGCAGCCGTTTAAGCGTGAGCGAAGAGCAGAGCAAAAAGCATCGGTTGAAATGGAGAGAAAGTCGGAAGAACAACGAGGAGAATCGGCGGCTGAGCGAGGAATTCCGCGAGTTTTCCTCCCTCTCCCTCTTTCAGTTCAACTCACTAGAGCCCCTCAAGTTAAAGTCGGGACATCTCGGTTCTCTTACTGATCGGTCTAGTTCCTTTTCTGGTCAAACATGGCATGTTCTAACTCCTTGGTGAGATTTACTCGGCAGGTTCCCCGGAAAAAGTTTGATTGTATTAACCAGAAAGGGTGCGACCAGATGCATTTTGCTTGGAGGAATTTTTATTTTTAATCATAAGAACCACATTTGGGTTAAAAGAACCAGAAATTCGGTTTTCTTCAATCAAGACGCATCTGGTTGTTCTCTTTCTGCTTAATGCAACTAGATTTCTTTTCCCGTGCATCTATTAGGTAAACGTCATTGTCTAGCGTTAAGTGATTCACCCAACAGGTACCTCTGTCAAGTAAATCTCACTAAGAAATTAAAAAAGTGGGCCTCAAATGTAGTTCGTCGTAACGTATCCAGACTCTAACTTGACTACTCTCAAGCGGTAACGAGAATCGCCGGGAGAATCGCCTTTCCTTTCCTCTCGCCGATGCGCACACGTGACTTCGCGCTTGGCCCGTTCGCCAACTTTCGGTCGCTACCGCACGTGCGCGCGCGAGCGAAAAATTCTTCCGGCCAGAAAAGTCCCCCCGGCTGGCGCGCGAGATGATTTACGTGACGAGGAGACGCGGCCGACTCGCACGGCGCCGCGAGATGCTAAGGGGAAATAATGGCCGCCGGAAGAGGACCGGCCGAAAATTTGTTTAACCACGCGCGGGAGGAAGCGAGCTATTTTTACGACTTCCGCCGCAGGTGTGTCTGCTTGAAACAGAAATATGAGCCGTGTCGGGGCCCCGGGGAGGCCCGCGCTGTCTGACTATGTCGATCGTATATCACTGCCCGGGCGTCTGCTCGACGACGGGGGCAAATTAATTCGGGGTCGATGATACATTATCCTAACGACGCCTGATACCGCCTGAGAGCGTTCCTCTAACGAGGAGCGGTCTCTTGCTCTCCTTTCTTATGAAAAACGCGAGAGGAGCTCGCTTTCGCTCGCGAGCCTGTTTTCCGCGCACCTGCGCGCGCCGTCGCGAATATCCTCTCGCCTGATTAATATCGGAACGTCGCGCGCGCCGTCATCGGGAATTCCGGCTCGCACCGAGTGCGAACGACGCGCGATCGCCGCGATTAACATCGTCCATGACGGAACGCCGAATTTTCCCTCGATTTTCCGCGCGAGCGCCGTACGTCCGGCGCGCCATTGGCATTCCGCGCGCGTTTCCCACAGTTACGCGACCGGAATGAGAAAGAAAAAGCGTGCACACACACAGAGACACATAGGCACACACACACACACCGCATCGGCTTTGTCGTCGGCGGCAATTTAGGCGAGCCTTACCGCGTAATAGCAGGTGAGATTGCGAGGATAGAGCCCGGGGAAGTTAGGCGACTGCAATCTGCACTTCTTCCGGTCGCAGTCGGTGAATATACGGGAGCAATAAGTCCCGGTTATTAGGTCCCCTAAGAACTGCTCCGAGCTCGGCTTCGTGGGTGGTGGCACGTGTTGCTCGACCATCTGCACCGGCATCGCCATCGACGTATTCGCGTACTCGACGGACGTGCGCTCGGTCGACGCCGGCGTCCCGGCGACCTGCGTTATTCCTGACCACGTGATGTTGGAATTTTAATCATCGACGGCTAGAGTATCGGCAAATTCTTCGTCCGCGCAATTTCAATGATCCCCAGGTCACGTCTACCTCCCCTCCCCCCTTCCCCGTCCATCACACAATTCCGTTAAACCAGGAGTCCGGACGAGTCCGCCTTGAGGCGATCGAGTGTCGCCGATCAATCAGCGATCAATTGCGACAGATTTCGGGGAAGGTCTCGTCGAAGATATTTTGTAATAACAATAATCATAATAATATTCGTAGAGTAAGAGCGATAAGCGGTGGGGAGCCTCGAGTCTTCTCGAGTCGGGTTAAATTCCGCCGAACAACGCTTATTGGCGATACCCGACCCGTTTCGGGAGCGATCGAGCGAGCTTACGGCAAAATCAGTATACGAAAGGAAAGCTGGGCGAAGCTCTCGGAGCGAGGGGACAAATGTCGATCGTGTTACGAGGCAAACTTCGAGGGACGTGCTCGAAATTTGTAACCCGAGAGCTGATCACCTACCGACGAAGGGATTCCCGTAGCGCACCACCGCGTCCGACTTCCTGATCATCTTATACGCCATCCTGAAGTCGAAGTTGAACCCCGTCTGATCTTTGCTGAGCCTGAGCAGCTTGAGGATGATCGAGACGCTGGGTGTCTCGCTGTAGTAAATCGCCGGTCCCCAGGACGTGCCGCACCAGAGCCCGCCGACGTCGGGACGCTGCGCCTCCGAGATCTGCAACGACCCGTCCGGGCATCCCTCCGCGGTGAAGGACACGAATTTGCCCAGGGTGAAGCTGTCGAAGGTCAGCTGCAACGGAGAAACCGGCTGACTCAGGACGAAACGGTTAAAAGAGGCGGGAGGGAAAATATTTAATTCGTCGACGTTCGACTCCGCCAAATCGGATAAATTCCGAGGCGGATGATAAATCGCGTTCCGCGACGTTGGCAAAAATTGATTAAGCGACGGGATTATAATTACGTCACTCTTTTTTTTTTATCGTACTTTAGAACGCCTCTGCGCAGGGAGATTTATAATTTTCATCCGCCAGCTCCCGTCTATCTTGCCCGAGCGCCCGGTCATTTATCTCTCGATTTTCTCGATTGATTTGTTTTTCGCGTTTTTCACATTTGCATCTTGTAACAAGATTTTAACGGGTGACGTCGAAAGTGAGCGGGCGAGAGAACGGTGTTGTTTTTTTATTTTTATCGCCGGGGCTTCCGTTTCGCTCGGTTTCAGGCAAATAAATTTCGCGTCGGCGTCATCGAGCATCGATCGAGCCGTCAGAAGTTGATAGTCGCGCGGTTTTTTGCCGCGAGATAGAGAGAGAGAGAGAGAGACAGACAGAGAGAAAGAGTGCAGCCGGGTCTGCGCAGCGCGATTAAAATATCGATGCCGTCCTGCTTTGGAAACGATAGGAAGCAGTTTATATACATGTGCAAATACACACATACACATTATTTCCCGAATGACACGATCGAGTGATAAACACGATTACATTACCCGCTCCGTTCAGGATTACTTCGCGACCGAGCGTCTTCAGGCTTTTAAAACACGCACACTCCTCCCCGCTTCGACGTATTAATATTTCGCTGGCACGCAAAATGGATTCATGAAACGTCAAATTGTTACTCCAGTTACTCGAGTCCTAAGAGAAGAAGATACGTCCGACCAAGCGGATCGGAGTCACGCGTTGACTCCTCGCAAGCTCCGCGGCCGGTTGTTACATTTCGCTTCGTATCACGTAAATTTGAACGCGACCGCCTCTTTGACGAGGCACCGGTAAACATCCGCACGGACCGTGACCGTGCCGTCGACACCGCGCGAGGAATTCCCGCGACGCCGACTGTGCAGATATGAGAAAGCCGGCAAACATTGCCGTGCAAATAATTCGACGGTCCGGCAACGGAGTTCTCGACTCGCTCGAGAAAATTTTCGCGCGTGCTCTCTTTCTCTTTCTTCCTATTCCTCCCCCTCCCCTCTCGTTTTTCAGTTTCGCACGATCGCCGTAAAAATGCGCGGCGCTTATTAAAAATTCCGCCGTTATTTCCTCAGTTTGCCAAGTCGGGTGGAAAATAACTCCCTTCGGTGGAGTGCCGACATTTCCAGGAACGGAGAACGCTCCTTTGTCCCGAAAGTTCCGTGAAGGACAGAGAAAAGAATATAGAGAGATAGAGAGAAGGGAAGAGAGAGAGAGAGAGAGAAAGGTAGCGGACGCGCAATTTATTTAAAATTTTTCCTTGGTGAGAGAAATGCGTTGTGCGGTGGCGCTCGTATTATATCCTTCTGTTTGCGCAAGAAGAATAATTGGAATTATAGTCGACGAACGCGCGACGAACAAATCGATACTCTCCATTTGTTGGTACTCACCGGCACCGTTAACGCGCTATTCGATAAAAACTTGGCTATTCGGAATTTAATTTGCTACATAATCCAGGCTCCGTCCTGTCCCCGGCGTTTCTTCGCGTCGAACTTCGTTTCACTTCGTTAATGCGGGCTTTAATTAAAGTCCGATTCCGTGAAGCGTAATTTATTGCAAATTCCCGAAGGGCGTTTTTCTCGATAGTACGGGAGAACGGTCTGGCGCAAGCTCTCTCTGCCGCGATAAATAATAATGCAAGCACACACTCGACGTGCATACAGGGTGTCCGGATTTAAATGCGACTTCTCCCGTGTACAGACAGAGCACATTGAACTGAAGAGAAAAATTCTATACTATTTTTCATATATGGCGGCTTTGTTATTAAAGTATTAATTAAGGATCAATTCTCTCAAATTTATTAGAATCAGAATTAAGTTGCCGTTATCGTAACTTTTCTCTTATTTTAAATTGCACTTGATATCCGTTAAAAACATAAAACTGACGCTCTACATTGCAAATTCAAATCAAGATTTCCTATTAATCTTTAACGTAGATTAATTTACACTTCAGTGCAAATACAAAAATCGATGTTCCTCTCATTTACACAAGTATACTAATCAATCTTTGTTTCTCAGAAGGACGACTTCACGCTCATCGGAAGCGCAGTGATTTCCCCCTCTATAACGGTTTTTGCTTCACCTCGCTGCAACGTTTAGAAGCAGAGCTATCGACGTTTGCATCGATCTGCGATCTCGATCGACCTAACGTTACCACGTGTGAGGTAGGTCAGGAGCGGAGCTCCGACCACGCGTCTCCCCACCACGCCGGTCATTCACCTCAGTCAGAGAGACAAATGCAGAATGAAAACAAACATAGTGCGCCGGCGCGAAAGCAAGTGCCACTTTCATTTTTTTGACCTGATATCATAAACGTCTTGTTCATATTTCCAGTTTCCACGTTACAAGCTTAAGCATATTAATTAAAATGAAAATAACAATACGACAAAGTCGAACGGCTTCATGGACCGTTCATGGAGTGCGGCGAATTAAAGACTCGAAAAGCTAGTTAGTTAAATTCATACACCTTGTATACACACACATACACACATACCGTATACCTCGACTGTTCCTCTCACCTGCACTATATCACCGAAATCGTCACCTGGCGCGTTGAAGGTGAGCTTGCAAATGTAAGGCACCTTGTCCTCCTTCGGTCGATGCAGCTCCAGGTCGTACGTCTTCCCCACGTCGCCGTAATACGTTTTATTGCAGGCTGTAACACGAACATTAAAGTACCGTGATTTCACCCTGCAGCTATCTTTAGCGCGCGCGCATGCACATTTTTGTTTCTATTTATTTCCGAGTCGGCATCGTTCCCTGCCTCCTCCCCGGCTCGAGTTCGCGAAATTTATAATTAGCCGACGAAGAAGCGGCCGTTTATCGGAAATTTGTCCGATAGTGCAAAACAGCGTTCGCGATTTTGCGCGTCCGTATTACGCCTGACATAAAACATCGGAACCGGAGGGATAGCGGGATGCGCGCGATTTCTTCCGCGATTTCTTCCGCGATTGCCGAATCGTGCGGTAGTCGTGAATATTAAAACAGTCGTGAATATAAAACAGTCGTGAAAGTAATTGCAAATCCGCGCGCGCGCGTGAGATATCACGCGACAGGATCATAGGACCGCGTCGATCGCGCGCCTTTGCAGATCGGAATAACTTCAGGATCGCGGTGGCTTTATACTGTCCAACAGTAGCAAAGTACATTGTTCTACGGTGGATCCCTGCCTTATCTTCTCAAAGACAATTTCTTACCGCCTCGACAACACCGTCTCGCGCGGCCTGGTCCGTAAATTTTCTTCCGCGCGAATAGCATTTTTCAAACCCGGGAGTGCACTTTCCAGGGCCCCGTGAAAAATCGTATCCGTCGTGGAAAATTTATGGGGAATGATGAAGCCGGTCGAACGGAGAGCGCCTTCCACCCCCGAGATACTCGTCCGCTGTATCCTTATTTCGTAAAAAAATACCTCGCTCTTTAACTTCTTCCCGTCCGTGGCGATACGTCATTATTATATCGCGCGACGTTATATTTGTTGCGGATGTTACAATTATCGCAGTTATTATCATAATCATTATGTCCGGTGTATTCAATTATAGCTCGGATGTTTCACGGATATTTAACGGAACGCGGCGAAAGCGGCTGTTAGATCCGCATTAATCATCTCTCAACGGCTCTTTTATCTTGATCCTTCACGTCGTGGTGGTTCTGGCAATAAGTCATTATCCCGTTGGCCGTTCTCAGGGCTACATTTTAGCTCTCTACGGAATTAGTATTCTTACCGAACGGCCGGTGGAATTAACTCGATTACAGAACACTCAATGTAATCACGAGATTAGAGACGACAGGCCGAGATAAAAGGTTCATAAATTTATCGTAATAACTTAAACATTTCTGCCGGAAGAAGAAATCTCATTTGAAATCGACGTACGAGGTACGCGAAGTACGCGAAGCATCGGGAAGGAGATATATATATATGTATACACACACACACACACACACATAATATAAATCGAGCGTATATGCAACGCGTGTTCGCGTATATATATTTTTTAATATCCCTCGCACACATATTATACGCCGAGGCAATTCGCAAAATATGCGCATCCTTTTCTCCGCGACGGCGAAGCACCTGCGTCTACGTAAGGTATCGCGAAAAATTCGCCGAATGTCATAACCCATCGATGCGGTATTCCCGCTCCCTCATCAACCGCAAGCCGATTCCATCAGAGAGATTACGGGGAACGATCCCCGATGGAGGATCGTAGAACATGCCAAGATAAGGAATTGATGGAAGATGGTAATGAATTATCGATGACCCACGTCGTTTGTTTCGTGCCAGGCATTCCGGCCTGATGTTTCGGATGAGAAACGAACGAACGAACGAACGTATGAACGTACGAATGTATGTACGAACGAACGAGGAAACGACGACCGCATACTATCCCCTGCCCCATCTCCCCCGCCATGCCCTCCTTCATTCATGTTTAATGGCATTCGCGGTGGGCCTGGAAAAACGGCGCTCGATCAAAGCTCGCAAATAGGACCTGCCGCCGAGATCCCGATGAAAGGCGCACGCGATCGACGAATCGTGATATTTCCGGCGAACGAGTGCAGCAAATATAATGATTATTTATTTAGGGAGATTCGCGCCGCAACGGACAGACCTCAAATCTGTCCGAGTGGCTATCGATAATTCAGCAGAGACGGCTTTTCCTCCGGTCGGATCTGTTGATGCGCCATCGGAGATCGTTGCAATATCAGCCCAGGCACGCGTGTCTGAAGAGATTTCTTGCTACCCGAAAAAGAGGGAGCAAGAAAGAGAGAGAGGGAGGNCCTCGATATATATATGTATAGGCAGGCCGGCATTCATAGTCCAGTCTTATATTTACGATCGTCTGGGAAAGGTCTTAAGATGCTATTTAGTGAATGGAACGGCCCCACGGTGTCTTAAGACCGTACTTAAGGCGATCCTGAATATAGGATCGGGCTACGAATCTCCGGGCGAAAGAATTGCCGCGTGACGTCGGGAGCCAGTAATTTCGATGAAATAATGAACGAATGTTCCCTTGATAGAAAGGTTAATTATTCAGAGCCTTACACATCCGACAGAGAACTCGGTATAATATATTCATCGAGCTCAAATCTCGCGAAATTTCACGCGAACGTCGGCTCACACGAGCGTCAAGCTCGTGCAAAATTACGAAGGGCACGTCGCGCAACTCGCGGAACTAACGACCTGAATCCGCGATCTCCGCGACTTTCCCGGGTCACCGCCGTCTCCTTAGCTTCGCTAATGCGTTCTCGATGCCCTCCCTTCCCCGAACTTCGTTCTCAAATGAACTCGACCTTAAAAATTCCGCCGGAAACCTCGTTCTTCCGCACGAAAGAGTCGCCGGCGAGGACGAAGCCGAAGCTGCGACAAACAATTGCGCGTTTATTCAAGGGATTCCCCGTGAAAACTTGCCGGCTTGACGCTTCGACTGTCGAGCGATTAAACTGCGCGCAAAATCAATTCAACTTTATTCCCCTCGACGAGATTGACGAGCTCGGCTTCTTCTTAACCACCTTCTCTCGCCCCCTCGGGGTTTCTTGATTCCTGCCATCTCACTCCCGCGACTATCCACCGTCCCCCGGGAGAATTGTTACCACCCACTTTGGGAGCCACTGTTCGAAACCGCTCGCGCAACTCGTTCACGATTCCCATCGATTAGACGAATCGGGAATGCACTCGTCGAGCGCGGGCTGCTTTGGCTTCCCCTCGCGAGACCCACGCGGAATTACCCCCTAGTTTCGGTTGGTTACACACCGGACTATTGTGAGGCTTCAAGGGCTCATTGTGGATGTATAGCGTTGGAAATCAAGGGTTAGTCGGATAGACGAGCACGCCGCAGAAGAGAACGGTTCTCTCTCCCACTCTCTCTCTCTCTCTCTCTCTCTCTCTCTATCTCTCTCCTTTCACCCTCCTTCGCACGCGCATACACAAACAATACGCGCCGTTTCCAGGCATCGGGTCATTCCTAATCAGAACCCCGGCTTGCTGATCTAATAGGTCACCCTGGAGTCACGTGTTTGCCTTACTGCAATCCCTTTAACAATCACGAATTGCCCGCAGTACAGGACATAGGTGATGGCAATTGTGTAATCGCGACGCGACAGCAGGCGAAATTCCGCCAATGATGATGATTCGAAAAATTTCGTTCACTTTCGGAAAAAATTCACTTCACCCCGTATGTGTTGCGCAGGCAAAAATAATATCAGCGCAGAACTCGGTCCTTTTTCCCAGATAATTTTATATTAAGCGAAAAAGTATCACAGAGAGAGAGAGAGAGAGAGAGAGAGAGAGAACTTTTATTCAATGTGCTTTAATACAATGTGAAAATGGAAACCATATTTTATAATGGTTATTGTGCGGTATTTTCCTTTTATTCTTTAAAATTAAATCTCATGAAAAAAATTGAACATGCAAATGCCTCCTTCGAAGCGAAAATAAATGACTCATGGGCGATTGAATAAATTTACATCGATAACAGCTACAAAAACGAAGCGTCCGGATTATCAGATATGTTTTGCACGTTTTGATTAATGCATAAATTTTACTTAATTAAATAACCGGATGGTCCGATATATTTCAAAGGTCGGAAAGTTCAGTCTAATACCCCGAGTTTTGAGCGATTAACGCGAAATTTACGCGTCCGTCTGATTAATGGTCGACGTAAACCAGTTCGTTCCGTCAGTCCGAGACGCGTCTGACCGTAGGTTGTTACTACTACTATTACTACTACTGCTACTGCGGCGTCAAGGAGCCTCTCTGGTGGTAGAGGCTGACGAATGACTGGTTTCTGTCACTGCCGTGGTACAACCACCGAGTATTCCGCGTTGCGCGGGCGTTTAACCCGCAAAGGCAGACTTTCTAGCAATGTTGCGATTATTAACTCGCGTTCTTAGCGAGCAGCGCCAAGCGCTCTAATTTCCAACATTTCGTTGTAAGCGAGACGATAAAACTATGTCGCGAATATTCGCGTATCGCGCAAACGTGTAATATGCACTAATTCCAAATTTTATATAGATTTATAAAATAGATATTACATAAAAATGTATAATTAGTAAACGTGTTGGTAAAAAAAATGATAAAGAACAATATTATGTTTCGCATTATATTATAATTTATGCCAAAATTTTGTCTGAAATGTTGACATGTAATATTTCTGCGCTCCGGTTTAGAGAAATAATTCCGCGAGAGATGTGCATTTTCCCATCTTTCTTATTTCCCGGTAATTTTGTTCTACGCATTCCCTCATGGATCAACAATTGTACACTGTAGACGTATATACAGAGTGTCCTAGACCGATAAGGATAAACTTCGTGAGGACGTAGAACAGATTGAAGTAAACGAGGAAGTTCATTATCATTTTGCAAACAGCATATAAAATTTCGCGTTATTAATTATTGAAAATAGCCATGTACGCGCTTCTTTAATTAATAACTTAAAAATTTGCGTGTTGTTTACAAAATAGTAGAGGACTTTTTTATTCACGTCAATCCGTTTTATGCATTCGCGAAGTTTGTCCCTATTAGTCTGAGAAACCCTGTATATATGTATAATGTATACGTTGATGTGATATATACGATGAGTGTGTTAATACTAATTTAACGTTATATTTGTGCCCTTCGTAACACATACTTGTATACTCCTCAACACATTCCCCGTGCTAA